ATATTATTATTCAATATAATATAAACAACTTTTAAATGTTTTCATTTTCCTTCACAGCCTGAACCAGCCTGCTGTGATTCAAGTCATAAAAGAATCACTTTAATGCAATTTATTTATTATTTATATTTTTGGATGAAAATCTAACCCTGGTTTCCTTTTCTGTCACATGCAAATGGCTGCACATCCTGATGCGACTGCAGCAAGGTAAGCACCACATCAAACCCAGTGGCTGAACTGTGTCGTTTTGTTTCCAGCAGGACCTCTGGCCGCTCGGCTTCCAAACAGTTTACATGATTCAGTTTAGTTTAGTTTTGTTCTGTGGAGCCGTTTTAGAGCAGTTAGAGGATGTGTTTGTGGAGCAGCAGAGTAAATGTCTCTTTGTTGCATCTTTAATCTGTTGTGTACACATCGGCTCTTCACATGTGTGTGTGTGTGTGCGTGTGTGGACGGGTTTTTCCTACAATGTAGGAACAAATTTCCCAAAAAAACAAGCAGCCTCGTGGGGACCAAAGTGCATCCAAATGCAAACTACGGGTGTGGGGTTAGGTTTAGGACCAAGGTTTAGGTTAGTTTTAGGGTCAGGTAGGTACCTGTGAGGTTAATTTTAGGGTAAATGGTCAGGGTTAGGTTATAAAGTCTAAAAAAATGAAGTCAATGGAAGGTCCCCATGGGGTTCAAGAACAAACGTGTGTGTATGTGTGTGTGTACTTGTTTTGCCTACAGAGTGAGAACCATGTTAGGTTTTTAATGAACAAAGAGAGGTCATTTTTGGAAAGTGCAGACCTTTTCCCGGTCCTCACTTTGTTTGAGGCTCTGCTGCTCTTCACTAGTTAGGTTTAGAGGTATGGTGTGAATTAAGTTCTGGTTTAGAGAGACCTTTATTGTCATTGTACAGAGCACAATGAAATTACAGTTCAGAGCACCCATTCAGAAGAAGACAGAACATAACAAACATGGGAGAACAGGTGTCCTGGGTCATGCAACCACAGACCCCTACACAGAACAAGGATCATCTTCATGAAGACATCACGAGGAGGCACTACCCTTAACAGAAAAACTAAAAACAACACAAGGACAGATGAGGAAAAAATCAACATTGTGACACACTGTGGTGTTTGTAAAAAAACAAAAACCTCTGCATAGAGCAGATTTATTAGCCAGAGGAGTAAGTGAGTTTAGGGGTGTGTGTATCTGAAGCCATGAGTGTTGTATGCACTTCTGTAAATATCTGAAGAATGAGTCAGAACAATCAAGTCCCCAAAACCAGCACAGCCACAGTTCAGACTATAGATAACTGTTCATTCTGCGCGGCCCTCAGCTTGCTTCAGGAACCAGATCACAGACGGGTGTGAGAGGGGGGGAGGTGTGAGGCAGAGCCTCAGTCGACGTTACCAACCAGGAAGAATTTAGTCAACAGCTCTCAAGGCCGTTGTAAGGGAGAGCCAAAACTGCAATCAGTTGTTTTGGGAACAGAAAGAGTCAGGCAGACAATAACAACTTTCCATCTGCTTTAATGTCCGCTGGTACCTCTCAGTGTGGCGAATCCAATCAGACAAATAGTGTGGACAAATTCCGCCGAGCTGATCTATCAGCTTCTCCAAGATCAATTCCATCTGGCCAGCAAAGTCCAGGAACCACAGCCGGCCTGCAACCCTCAGAAGAACTGCTTGTAGACCGAGTCCAGCTCACTCAAGGCAAAAGTCTGAGTGCTGATAGAACGGCAATCCTTCATATTGGTCAGGCAGCCAGGAAATGAAAAGCCACCGACACTGTTTTGTAGAACACCAGGAGACCACCAAGCCAATCTGTAGAATCCAGTGATCAGAATCCAAATCTATATCCAGAACAGAGCAGAACAGAGGTCCCACCTTTGACATGTCCTCCCATGGAAAAAAAAAACTTTGTTCCAAAAAATTTATTAAGAGACCAGCTAACCAAATCCATAAAGATAAAAATATCCATAATTTCTGGTTTTGGATGAAAATGTAGAGAAGGCTCCAAGCAGCAAAGCAGGGAAGAAAAGGAAGGGCAGGAGAGAAGGGAAAAGCGTCTTTCTCCTCCGAGAGCGGAACAAAAAAGTTAAGGTTAGGGTTAACTGTAGACCAGTAATGGTTAGTTTTAGGGAAAATGTCTGGGTTAGGCATAAATACAGTTACAAAAATGAATGGAACTCAATACAAAGTCCTCCGTTTGATGAAAATACAAGGATGTGTGTGTGTATGTACTTGTTTTTGTTACCTATTTAGGACCATTTCTGGTATACACACCTATCTTGTCAAGACCAGAAGTCCTAATGGGGACCAAAGACACTTCCTAATATGGTGGAACTCCATTTTTGGGTTGTGGGTTTGGTTTAGGACCAAGGTGTGAATTGAGTTTAGGTTAGTTTTAGGGTCAGGTGAGTTACCTGTGAGGTCAGTCTTAGGGTTGGCGATCAGGGTTAGGCTGTAGAAATTACTGGAAATGAATGGAAGTCAATGAACGGTCGTAATAAGGATGGAAATACAAATGTGTGTGTGTGTGTGTGTGTGTGTGTGTGTGTGTGTGTGTGTGTGTGTGTGTGTGTGTGTGTGTGTG